CCAGCCAGCATGATTTAAGACCGATGGACTCCAAGTCCCAGAATTCCCTCACCAGCATGTCTGCCCGTCATAGCATTGCTGAGGTCAAGAAAAAACTGCCCATGGACCTTAAGTTGGGATCTCCAAATTTGACAGCTTTAAGACTTGTGGACTTCAACTCCCAGAATTCCTCAGCCAGCCTGGCTAGCTGAGAAATTCTGGGAGTTGTAGTCCACAAGTCTTAAAAATTGTAAACTTTGGAGAGAGAACTTCACCAAAGCTGGTTGCTCTCCAGCTTGGAGTCTCCATCTTATGGACCCTAACTCTAACTCCAGGGTGGCATCCTGCCCTCTGCCTGTCACTGCCGTGCCCCACTGGTCTGTCCGAGCCACTCAGCCCTCCCCCCAAAAGACCCCCAGGAGGAGTTGGAGGAAGAGGCAGCTGCCGGACCAAATCCTCCGAACCTTACAATCTTCTCAACTAGCTGGCTAATCTGCCTCTCGGTGCTGGGGGCTCCGTCCACGTAGTAGTCCATTCCACGCAAGCAGTAATGGCGGCCGGTGCAAGGGCTGTAGTAGCCTTGGTAGGGCATCCGGCCTGGGATGGGGTACTGATGTCGGACATACGGAAGTTGCTTCCGAGACAAGCTATTCAACATGTTGACCACGACTTCCCGTTCTGGAGAAAAGAGGTCAGAAAGAGAGGAGGATTAGAAGGCGGAGCTGAGAGAGGCTCGGCCCATCGGCAGCGGGTTCGAGAAGCAACCTCACAGGGAGGACAATCATCCAGGGGAATAGCTTGCCACCAGAAGTTATGGGTGCTCCATCCCTGGAGGTTCTTAAGAAGAGACTGGACAGCCACTTGTCTGAAATGGCTTAGGGTCTCCTGTTTTAGCAAGGGGTTGGACTAGAAGACTGTTGAGGCGATTCCCCGTTAGGAGAATGAGCGCATACAGGGAGACGTATAGAGAGGAGTGTTGGAATAATACACACAGAGCACACAGATACACTGTACATTAAATGTAGGTTTTTACTTCCAGAAAGGTTTAAGCAAAGTCCAAAATAAGCAATCCAAAGTCATTCACAAGTTAAATCAGTCAGTTTTCAATCCAGGGATAATCCAAATATCAAAGTCCAGTGTCAAAAAACAGTTCAGTATCAGACTTACATTAAATCCAGGAATATCAGTCAATTAGAAGAAATGGAGCAACGGCAATACTTTCCAACAGAAGGAAACAGAGATACTCACTCAGACACACTCTTTTCTGAGACTAAGACTAAGACAACCCAGGTTTCTGGCTCCATCTTATGGCGGTTTGAGTAACCACACCCAATTGCAGTTTTTAGCATGCTCTTAAAGAGACAGTATTAAAATGTCTATCCTGGTTTATATATTTCTAACCCAAATACCTGTTAGGTGACTTATATTCCTAACAAAGACCTCCAAGATTTCTTCCAGCTCTGTTATTCTATTCTATTCTAAAACAGCCATGACTACCCAGCAACAGGAACAAGCCATCCAAATATCTTGAGGGCTGGAAACTTAGACCAGGCATGTTGATGTTGCAACGTTTCGGAAGCCGGTCAAATCCGGAAGACAGAGTGGATTTTGAAGATTTAATAGCTGACCAGCTGCTGTGAGGCTGTAAGCCAAGATGATGAACTGAGGATGAGTCAGCAGGGTACTGCCCCTTTAAGAAGCTGTCTATATAAGGGAGGCATGTGAGGGCATCTCTCTCTCTCTCTCTCTCTCTGTCTCCTCATGTTCTATCTCCATTGTAGTTCTCCGTGTAGAGTTCAAGATTGATTGATTGCCTGGCGTTTGCCTAACACATGTATGTATATATGTGTTGTATATAAACCACTGTTAAAAGACAAAGCCTCTGTGTCCTGTGTTTGCTCCCGGGTTGTCTCGCAATAGTAGTCACCCTGTAAACACTCCGACATTTATTCTGATTGACTCAGGAAGCTCCCCTTCTCAAAATGTAAAATTTGAGGACTCAACATCCCGGATAACAGAGTTAGAAGGGACCTCTGAGGTCCTCTAGTCCAACCTCTGACTCAAGCAGGAAACCCTATAGCAATTGAGACAAACGGCTGTCCAGTCTCTTCTTTAAAACCTCCAGTGAGGGAGCAGCCACAACGCTGTTCCACTGGTTAGTAGTCCTCACTGTTGGGAAGTTTCTCCTTAGTTCTAAGTCGCTTCTCTCCTTGATGAGTTTCCACCCGTTGCTTCTTATCCTGCCCTTCAGAGGCTTTGGAGGATGGATTGACCCCCTTTCTCCTCCTCTCTGTGGCAGCTCCTCAAATATTGGAAGGCTGCCATTGTGTCACCACTAGTCCTTCTTTGCATTAAAGTAGACACATATCCAATTCCCGCAACCATTCTTTACGTGTTTTAAGCCTCCTGTCCCTTAAAATTCACCAGACCTAAAATGATAGCAACCTGAGGCTCAAGACTTCCCAACGATGTTTTCAGATTACCAATAAAGGAGAATATTTATAGGTCAGGGTTGAAAAAGAGGAGGAGGAGGAGGAGGAGGAGGAGGAGGAGGGGAAGGGAGAGGGGGAGGAGGAGAACTGTGGGGTTCTTGATGCTCTCTGAGTTTGATTGTTTTCTTCCAGACCTTTCATGACCTAACTTGGTAACATCATCACTGCTAGAAGGGGCTTGTATGTAATCAGAGAGCAAAGCCCGCTCCCTTTTGGCACTGATGATGTTACCTAGTTGGGTCATGAAAGGTCTGCAAGAAAACAGCCAAGCTCAGAGAGGACCAAAGACACCACAGTCATCATCGTTCCCCCACTCCTTCTTCCTCTTCCTCTCCTCCTCCTCCTCCTCCTCCTCCTCCTCCTCCTGCTCCTTCTTCCTCTTCTCCTCCTCCACCTCCTCCTCCTTCCTCTTCCTCTCCTCCTCCTCCTCCTCCTTCCTCTTCCTCTTCTCCTCCACCTCCTCCTCCTCCTTCTTCCTCTCCTCCTCCTTCTTCCTCTTCCTCTCCTCCTCCTCCTCCTCCTTCCTCTTTCTCTCCTCCTCCTCCTCCTCCTCCTCC